TGGGTGCGGGAGGTCCATGGTTCAAATCCTGGAAGAGCCCAGCTTTAATCATGGTTCAACACCTAAATTTTCCACTCTTGCTGCATCTGTAATTTTGTTTCCACTTTGGACACCAAATGAAACCAATGTTCCATGGCTCGTTGGTCTAGGGGTATGATTCTCGCTTTGGGTGTGAGAGGTCCCAGGTTTAAATCCAGGATGAGCACAGCTTTAACTATGGTTAAATTTTCCACCATTGTTGTATCTGTAGTTTTCTTTCCACTTTGCAGACCAAACAAATACAATGTTCCATGGATTGTTGGTCTAGGGGTATGATTCTCGCTTAGGGTGCTAGAAGTCCCGGGTTCAAATCCTGGACGAGCCCAGCTTCAACTATGGTTACATTTTCCACACCTGTTGCATCTGTAGTTTTGTTTCCACATTGCACACCAAACAAAACCCACGCACCATGGCTAGTGGTATCATTCTTGCTTCAGGTGCGAGAGGTCCCGGGTTCAAATCCTGGAAGTGTCCAGCTTTAATTATGGTTCAACACCTAAATTTTCCAACCTTGTTGCATCTCTAGTTTTGTTTCCACTTTGCACACCAAAAAAAATCGTTGTTCCATAGCTCGTTGGTCTAGGGGTATGAGTTTTGCTTCGGGTGCGAGAGGTCCCGGGTTCAAATCCTGGACGAGCCCAGCTTTCATTATGGTTCAACACCTAAATTTTCCACCCTTGTTGCATCTGTAGTTTTGTTTCCATTTGGCACACCAAATAAAACCACATTCCATGGCTCGTTGGTCTAGGGGTATGATTCTCGCTTAGGGTGCGAGAGGTCCCGGGTTCAAATCCCGGACGAGCCCAGCTTTCATTATGGTTCAACACCTAAATTTTCCATTGTTGCATCTTAGTTTTGTTTCCACTTTGCACACCAAATAAAATCCACATTCCATGGCTCGTTGGTCTAGGGGTATGATTCTTGCTTCGGGTGCGAGAGGTCTCGGGTTCAAATCCCGGACGAGCCCAGCTTTCTTATGGTTCAACATAAATTTTCCACCCTTGTTGCATCTGTAGTTTTGTTTACACTTTGGACACCAAATAAAACCAAGGTTCAAAGGCTCGTTGGTCTAGGGGTATGATTCTTGCTAAGGGTGCGAGAGGTCCCGGGTTCAAATCCTGGACGAGTCCAGCTTTAATTATGGTTCAACACCTATATTTTCCATATGTTTTGCATCTGTAGTTTTGTTTCCATTTGGCACTCCAAATAAAACCCACATTCCATGGCTCGTTGGTCTAGGGGTATGATTCTCGCTTAGGGTGCGAGAGGTCCCATGTTCAAATCCCGTACGAGCCCAGCTTTCATTATGGTTCAAAACCTATATTTTCCATGTGTTTTGCATCTGTAGTTTTGTTTCCATTTGGCACACCAAATAAAACCCACATTCCATGGCTTGTTGGTCTAGGGGTATGATTCTCGCTTAGGGTGCGAGAGGTCCCGGGTTCAAATCTCGGACGAGCCCAGCTTTCATTATGGTTCAACACCTATATTTTCAATGTGCTTTGCATCTTTAGTTTTGTTTCCATTTGGCACACCGAATAAATTGTCTAGGGGTATGATTCTTGATTTGGGTGCGGGAGGTCCATGGTTCAAATCCTGGAAGAGCCCAGCTTTAATCATGGTTTAACACCTAAATTTTCCACTCTTGCTGCATCTGTAATTATGTTTCCACTTTGGACACCAAATAAAACCACATTCCATGGCTCGTTGGTCTAGGGGTATGATTCTCGCTTAGGGTGCGAGAGGTCCCGGGTTCAAATCCCGGACGAGCCCAGCTTTAATAATGATGCAATACCTATATTTTCCATATGTTTTGCATCTGTAGTTTTGTTTCCATTTGGCACACCAAATAAACCCCACATTCCATGGCTTGTTGGTCTAGGGGTATGATTCTCGCGAGAGGTCGCGGGTTCAAATCCTGGACGAACGCAGCTTTAATTATGGTTCAACACCTATATTTTCCATGGGTTTTTCATCTGTTGTTTTGTTTCCATTTGGCACACCAAATAAATTGTCAAGGGGTATGATTCTCGATTTGGGTGCGGGAGGTCCATGGTTCAAATCCTGGAAGAGCCCAGCTTTAATCATGGTTCAACACCTAAATTTTCCACTCTTGCTGCATCTGTAATTTTGTTTCCACTTTGGACACCAAATGAAACCAATGTTCCATGGCTCGTTGGTCTAGGGGTATGATTCTCGCTTTGGGTGTGAGAGGTCCCAGGTTCAAATCCAGGATGAGCCTAGCTTTATCTATTGTTAAATTTTCCACATCTGTTGCATCTGTAGTTTTGTTTCCACATTGCACACCAAACAAAACCCACGCACCATGGCAAGTGGTATCATTCTTGCTTCGGGTGCGAGAGGTCCCGGGTTCAAATCCTGGAAGTGTCCAGCTTTAATTATGGTTCAACACCTAAATTTTCCAACTTTGTTGCATCTCTAGTTTTGTTTCCACTTTGCACACCAAAAGAAAATCGTTGTTCCATAGCTCGTTGGTCTAGGGGTATGATTTTTGCTTCGGGTGCGAAAGGTCTCGGGTTCAAATCCCGGATGAGCCCAGCTTTCATTATGGTTCAACACCTAAATTTTCCACCCTTGTTGCCTCTTTAGTTTTGTTTTCACTTTGCACACTAAATAAAACCAATGTTTCATGGCTCGTTGGTCTAGGGGTATGATTCTCACTTTGAATGCGAGAGGTCCCGGGTTCAAATCCTGGACGAGCCCAGCTTTTATTATGGTTTAACACCTAAATTTTCAACCCTTGTTGCATCTGTAGTTTTCTTTCCACTTTGCACACCAAATAAATCTGACATTCCATGGCTCGTTGGTCTAGGGGTATGATTCTCGCTTCGGGTGCGAGAGGTCCCGGGTTCAAGTCCCGGACGAGCTCAGCTTTCATTATGGTTCAACACCTATATTTTCCATGTGTTTTGCATCTGTAGTTTTGTTTCCATTTGTCACACCAAATAAAACCCAGACACCATGGCTCGTTTGTCAAGGGTTATGGCTTCTTGCTTTGGGTGCAAGAGGTCCTGGGTTCAAATCCTGGAGGAGCCCAGCTTTAATTAAGGTTCTACACCTAAATTTTCCACCATTGTTGCATCTGTAGTTTTCTTTCCACTTTGCACACCAAATAAAACCAAAATTCCATGAGCCCAGCTTTCATTATGGTTCAACACCTATATTTTCCATGTGTTTTGCATCTGTAGTTTTGTTTCCATTTGGCACACCGAATAAAACCCACATTCCATGGCTCGTTGGTTTAGGGGTATGATTCTTGCTTAGGGTGCGAGAGGTCTCGGGTTCAAATCACGGACGAGCCCAGCTTTAACTATGGTAAAATTTTCCACACCTGTTACATCTGTAGTTTTGGTTCCACATTGCACACCAAACAAAACCCAAGCACCATGGCTAGTAGTATGATTCTTGCTTTGGGTGCGAGAGGTCCCGGGTTCAAATCCTGGATGAGCCCAGCTTTAATTGAGGTTCAACACCTAAATTTTCCACCATTGTTGCATCTGTAGTTTTCTTTCCACTTTGCAGACCAAACAAATCCAATGTTCGATGGATTGTTGGTCTAGGGGTATGCTTCTTGCTTAGGGTGCCAGAAGTCCCAGGTTTAAATCCTGGATGAGCCCAGCTTTAATTAAGGTTCAACACCTAAATTTTCCACCCTTGTTGCATCTGTAGTTTTCTTTCCACTTTGCACACCAAATAAATTCCACCTTCCATGGCTCGTTGGTCTATGGGTATGATTCTTGCTTTGGGTGCGAGAGGTCCTGGGTTCAAATCCCAGACGAGCCCAGCTTTCATTATGGTTCAACACCTATATTTTCCATGTGTTTTGCATCTGTAGTTTTGGTTCCACATTGCAAACCAAACAAAAGCCAAGCACCATGGCTAGTAGTATGATTCTTGCTTTGGGTGTGAGAGGTCCTGGGTTCAAATCCTGGATGAGCCCAGCTTTAATTAAGGTTCAACACCTAAATTTTCCACCATTGTTGCATCTGTAGTTTTCTTTCCACTTTGCAGACCAAACAAATCCAATGTTCCATGGATTGTTGTTCTAGGGGTATGCTTCTCGCTTAAGGGTGCCAGAAGTCCCAGGTTTAAATCCCGGATGAGCCCAGCTATATTTATGGTTCAACATCTAAATCTTCCACCCCTTTTTGCATTTGTAGTTTTGTTTCCACATTGCACACCAAAAAAAAACAACGTTCCATGGCTTGTTGGTTTAGGGGTATGATTCTCGCTTTGGGTGCGAGAGGTCCCGGGTTCAAATCCCGGATGAGCCCAGCTTTCATTATGGTTCAACAACTAAATTTTCCAACCTTGTTGCATCTGTAGTTTTGTTTACACTTTGGACACCAAATTAAACCAAGGTTCAAAGGCTCGTTGGTCTAGGGGTATGATTCTTGCTAAGGGTGCGAGAGGTCCCGGGTTCAAATCCTGGACGAGTCCAGCTTTAATTATGGTTAAACACCTATATTTTCCATATGTTTTGCATCTGTAGTTTTGTTTTCATTTGGCACACCAAATAAAACCCACATTCCATGGCTCGTTGGTCTAGGGGTATGATTCTCGCTTAGGGTGCAAGAGGTCCCGGTTCAAATCCCGGACGAGCCCAGCTTTCATTATGGTTCAAAACCTATATTTTCCATTTGTTTTGCATCTGTAGTTTTGTTTCCATTTGGCACACCAAATAAAACCCACATTCCATGGCTTGTTGGTTTAGGGGTATGATTCTTGCTTAGGGTTTGAGAGGTCCCGGGTTCAAATCCCGGACGAGCCCAGCTTTAATAATGATTCAATACCTATATTTTCCATATGTTTTGCATCTGTAGTTTTGTTTCCATTTGGCACACCAAATAAACCCCACATTCCATGGTTTGTTGGTCTAGGGGTATGATTCTTGCTTTGGGGGTGAGAGGTCCCAGGTTCAAATCCAGGACGAGCCCAGC